GGAGAACAAACCTATCCATTCTGAAGGAAATCAACCCCCAGTGCTCACTGGAGCGACAGATCCTGAAGCTGAGGCTCCAATACTTTGGCCATCTCATGAGAAGAGAAGACTCCCTGGAAAAGACCCTGATGTTAGGAAAGTGTGAAGGCAGGAGGAGAAGGGGACGACAGAGGACGAGATGGTTGGACAGTGTCATCGAAACTACCAACATGAATTTGGCCCAACTCCGGGAGACAGTGGAAGACAGGAGGGCCTGGCGTGCTCTGGTCCATTAGGTCAAGAAGAGGCTGATATGACTAAACGACTAAACAACAACAAAATGACGCGAGAGAGTTCCGGTTCCGGCTAGGTGTGGTTAGCAAGCGTCTGCAAGTCTGAAGGGTTTCCTTTATTTTTATCTATTGTTTTTAGCAACACTTTCTTTTCTGACTTTGCTGACCAGGTTGAAATCCAGATATCTCTTAAAAGAGACCAAGCAGCTAGTAGATAAAGTCCTCTTAGGTTCTTATGAAGTGGAATACAGTATAGAGACGGGCATGAATTGCTGTTGTGGCCGTCAGTGCAGTTTGTTTCATAGCTGAACAGCTGATTCACAGTTCAGTGCCCCGCCCCTCTCCAACAGGCGCCCATTTAGCAGCCTTGTCTCCTCTAGGTGCTTCTGATGAATCTCTAGTGGAAAACAAAGGGGTGTTGCATTGCCCATTGTAATTCTTGAATGGAGAAACAGGACTGCAAAATGTTGTGGTTGACAAGTCTAAATCTGTCTCAGAAATAACAATGGTGCTTGTTAGTGCTTCCCTAAAAATTAGTGTATCACCTCTACTTTGTGAAAGTTTTCAAGAACATTCATTATTTTAAAAGTTAATTTTAATGGTTCAACAATGAATTTTCAACAAAGTAACAAACATTTCATGTTTTTAATAGGGCAACAGCCCTTTTTAAAGAAATATAAAGTGTTCTTTATTTTTAAAAAATTAAGCTCTGTGCCAGGGTTATACATTTTAAGAGGCTCATTTATATGCACCAGTGTCAACATATTTAAACAGTAGTAGCTGCAATTCACAAACACAGCATGCATTTAAATGATACACATGGCACTGACCTCTATAAGCTGGAAGTGCTTAAAAGTGATTTTTCAAATAACAGTATGGCCCATTTTTCATTTGTAGCCCATTTTAGGTTGAGAAAACTTCCTTTTTGCTACCTGTCATCACAGTATTAGAATACAATTCTTACCTAACTCAGGTCCTCGGAATATAATTGAGATCCCAGAGAAATGCCAATCATGGAGGACAACGGTCTTTTCTCTGAAAGTTAACTGGTATCGCTTTTCTGGGATAATTTTATGAACAGCAGTATAGAAATGTTCCAGATAAATAAACATCATAGAATCTCATTGCACTGATAAAAATCCACACTTGCTACATTTAATAGTTTCCCTTGCGAAGAATATTTAGTTCTTGCTTTTTAAAACCCCTTCATTTCCCAAGGCACAGTATTGTTCATAATCTTGTCTTGAATATAGTAGAGCAAGACAATAGAATGGAAAGAGCAATGAATTACTTGCATTCATGTATAAATGTCAGTGGTATGAGCATTAAACGCTAGCACTATTAACTACTTTATTGCCAATTTAACTGAAGAATCAAGCTTCATAATTGTCGATATATAGGGCTTTTTCCCCTATAAAACTAAAAATGAGCTCTGTCCACCTCAGGTTGTTCAGCCATCTGTAACGTACGTGTGTGTGTGTGTGTGTGTGTGTGTGTGTGTGTGTAAGAGAGAGAGAGAGAGAGAGAGAGAGAACAATACACATAGGCTGAGAGTTTTAACTGACTTTTACAGTTGAAATTTCACTCTCTTCTTAAAGACAGAAGAGCACAATATTGGGGCAAATAACAAAGTTTAATCTTTCTACAGAATATTTCATTTCACTCTTTATTTTTCAATACTTTTAGTAATAGTGTCAGTAGAAACACACCATTAGACTTGACCACTGTGTGGCTTAGTGCTAAATCCAGTTGTTAATCCTAACTACAGCAGATCCATTAAATGAATTCCATGAATAAGGCTAAGACTGTTGCAAGGCAGAACACTGGTGGGATACCCAGTCTCCTATCTCCAATCTAGGTTAAGGCTGAAAGTATATTCCAGATAGTTTTAGACAGCAAACAGATGAATTACCCATGAATTACACCCCATAAACACCAAAAGAACTGATTGAGCAACATCTTGGAAAATTGCAACCTTTATACCTTTCTTTTTTTAATGCTGGGTGTCAGTGGGGAACATGCTACTCACTTATTTTTTTTCCCCATGGCTCTGAGATTGCCCCTTCCTTTCTGTTGCTTCCTGGATTAGTTGCCTTTTCTTTCTCCTCCATTTTTGGTTCCCCAAAGATAAACATGTGCAGCTGTAACTGCACTATACTGTATATGGAAGAACAAAGTCATGAATTGTAAGTAGAAGTTTCTTTTAACCAAGAAGTATCCAGACTGATCATTTTTCCTTTTTAAAGGGAGAGGGTGAGACTGGGTAGATTTGTCCATGCTTTTTCTCTACACCAAGAATAGAATAACCACATTCCAAATCCCTCCAACACAATATTTGTAGCCATTGTACACTTCCACTGCTCGGTCAGGTAGGAACAATATAGTCATTGATATACTCGTAACTACATTTGATAATGAGATGCATTTCCCAGCTGTGTGTAGTTTCTGATTGTGATGAAGTAGAAAGGTTTCTTGTTCTATTTTTTTTTTACTAAAACAACAATAACATTGTGTACTAAAGAAAAAGAGAAAAATATTTTCACCTGAAGCAAATAAAATGCACTCAAGGAAGCAAGTGAGACACATTATGTATCTAAACTCTCAGCACAAATGTGTCCAGCTAACAAAATGTTGGTGCAACATCTCATAACAACTTTTGAGATTTACCTTTTTTTTTCCTTTTTACCTTTTGACTAAAAGCTAAAAAGAGCACATCGGTTTTAATTTGAGATCTGGGAAGTTTAAAAGCAAAGTGTTAACCACCAGAAATTATTAGTTATTTTCACAAGAGGTAGCACGTACCATAAATGCCTTCTCTGCCTTAAACAAATATGGAACACAGTGTCAATGGACCACACCACCTGAATTTTAAGCAGGATGAGATCACACAAACCTTTATTTCAAAGTATAATAAAAGAGAACAAATCTGTAGATGTTATACATAAGATACATAGGGAATAAAATAAATATAAAATTCCTCAACTTTCTGAAATGATAGAACAGGAAATAGGAAGTCATATGTGACCTTTATATTCCATTTTAAACCACTAGAGGGCATATATGTATATACAGCTTCTAAGCGAACTAAATTAGTAGAGACCTGCTCCAAAGTTGGACAGGTCTGCAGCCAGATACCTAACTTGCTGAGCTATTTAGCCAGCATCCATCTCTATCTCTACACAGACTCTCCCCCCCCCACAGTTCTCACAATAAAAATCTAAGGCCACTACTGAGCTGTGTACTTTTGCTTCTGTCAGTGCAACTGGGAATGAGTATTCCTCCCCCACCCCATGCAATCCTTGTACATCATCAAGGTCTACTGTGGAGGACTGAGAAATTCTCAGGAACCTATGTTTAAGTGGCACAGAAGGCTGAGGTGTGGAAATGGAATTGCTCCCCTCCTGCTTCCACTGATGGGACTGTTTCTGTCACTAGAGGTTCATTCTGCATTTTTGGACTATGTGATCCAGAATCTCCTTTCCAGCTGAGAATTACAGCCACAAAAAAATATAACATTTCCAAGCTGTACACTGTTATTTCCTGACAAATGAAAAGATGTGATGCCAGCAAAATAGACCTTTCAGTGGGACAGGAGACAGTCAAGGGAGAGAAAAAAAAACCCACCAAGGTATATAAGTTTTTAATAAACAAAAATCAGGGAAAAAAATTGCGCCACACAGGATAAACCTTAAAATTTTATTGTCACTAACCTCTCCCTCTACAGTGACACTGTTACTTACAGCAGGAGTTACACACACACACACACACACACACAAACAGAACTAGGGTATACCTTTAGTGTAGAAAACGTTGTAAGAAGAAACTAACAGAATCACAGGCAATAAGCCCTGATGTGAAGAGAAAACCAACCCAACCAAACAGAACACAACAACTCAGCATACATCTACATGTTCAAAAACAGTATCCATTGTAGTAATATCAAATCTTCTGACACTGAAAAAAAAATCATAAGATTCTTTTTAGCAGCACAGACACATCCTTCGATATAAAAGAATGGGAAGTTGCCGTGCTGATGGCTTGGACATTGCATGCTAACTTCCAGGTCAGTGCACTAACATACACCTGGAAGTCTCCTTCTCTGCCTTGCCCAACAGCATTTCAAGCTTAGATCAGGAAGCCAGATTTATGACTGCACAGCCTGCATTGGTTATGAAATTGTTCTTGCTGGGAGAGGGGGAGGAATCAGCTCCATGCTCTAATTCACCCCTTGTACCATTTGGATGCATGGAACATATACTTTTATTTCTGCAAATAGCACATTATAAAGATGTCTCTCCAAGGGTGATAACAATTTTTTTACTATATCAAATGCAATCATTTCATCACTGAATCATAGAATAATGGAGTTGGAAGAGGCTTATAAGGCCATCAAGGCCAACCCCCTGCTGAATGCAGGAATCCAAATCAAAGCAGATTTGGAAAACGGTTGTCTAATTTTCTCTTGAATGCCTCTCTAGTACTGGAGTGCTCACTACCTCCCGAGATAATTGGTTCTATTGTTGTATTGCTTGAACGGTTAGGAAGTTTTTCCTGATATTCAACTAAAATATGGCTTCCTGGAACTTGAGCCCATTATTATGTGTCCTTTACTCTGGGATTATTGATATCATAACCTGCCCCCCCTGCATATCTATCAAATATTTGAAAAGTGCTATCATATCATCCCTCAGTCTTCTTTTCTCAAGGCTAAACATGCCCAGTTCTTTCAGTCTTTCCTCACAGGGCTTGGTTTCCAGTCCCCTGATCATCCTTACTGTCCTCCTCTGAACTTCTCCAGCATTGTTCTTAGTGTGGTAATAAGAACTGGACAAAGTACTCAAGATGAGGCCTAACCAGTTTCATATAGAGGGGAACTGGTTAATGCAAAGGGGTGAAAAAACCTCATTTACTTATTGTTGGAATTTCTTTATATTTCTTATAAGTTACACTTATAACAGCTACATTTTTGGGTGTAAATGTTAAAATGCTGGCCAATAATACAGGTCATGGAATATAAACTCATTTATTTCATGCCACTTTCTTAACAGCTTGGTTTGGTGGACTGGGTGTTTGTTTGTTTGTTTGTTTTGAAATCCCAAATAAGCTCATATTAATTTACATAAATTTGACTTAAAACTATTCTCAAATGATTCAATCTATTTCAATAGATTTTTTGGGAAGAGGGGGAAAATACAATGAGCACAATTCAGTCTACCTTAAATAGTTTAAAGCCACATAGATTTTAATGGGAGATTTGAACATGAACTTCACTCTCTTCTGCTGAAATCAACGAGACATTATTAGTTTCTGACTGCCAAAAGAACTAGGGGCATACATGATGAATAGCAAGCAGCAGAATCCTGTAAATTCATTTTCAATGGGACTTAATCTCATATGACTGCATTTAAGATTGCAGCCTTACAAATGCGTACAGTAAGATGGATCATTACCAAGGTCAACAATTATCAGATAATTAACAATTATTTTAAAAATAACAAATAAAATCCAACCTAAATTAAATTAAATAATACATGGGATCAGAGAAGGCTTTCACCTTTCCTTAATACATAAAATACTAGCACCATAATAGTAATTACAATTTGTTTGTTTTTTTAGTGACTAAGAATTATTTCTCAAAGCAAGTATGTTACTATGTGCAACAGTTTATAGTCAGTCTAATAGGACATTATCTGTTTTCTCCTTTCTCAAGATAAAAAATGAGAGTCGATATCAAATCCAGAAACGCACTGAAGACAACCTGGGGAAAAACAAAACAAAACGGGGACTGAACTGTGGCCAGTGGAGAAGCTAACAATGAGTCCCAACTGAGGCAAAAGTGGACATTTCACGACGTATTGTACTGAAAGGAGACAGTTCAAGCTCTGTGGTGTACTCATTGTCATTATCATCACTCGTAACTGTAGAGGACTTCTGTATGCATTCATCACAGCAGCAGCAGCAACACTCCAGAAAGGCTCGACTGAATGGTTTGCAAAGACAGAAAAGAAGAACTGGAGTCACACATGATTTAAAGAACAACAGGAACTGACTAATAAGGTGGAGGAGGTCCATAGTCTGTTGAGACACTCCTGTGGACATGTAGGTAGTGACTATATTGCAGATGTTTTCTGGAATGATGCAGAAACCATACAAAATGGTCAGTGCAACAACTGTACAGTTCATCTGGCTTTCCAGCTGAATTTGTCGCTTGTTTCCTCTTGTACAAGCCTTCTCCACCTTTCGGATTTTCCTTGCTGTCACCAAAGAGCAAGTAATAGTGAAGAGGGTAGGCAAGCAAAAGTAACAGCCGAAGTACCACCACAGCCTTGCACCATCATATGTAAGTGCCAAAACATAGATGGTGTCGGGCAGGTGAGGAGAAATCTTTACCACACATCGTTCTATGGGAGGGCTCCCGCTGATTTCTGAGTCCTCTTTAGTCAACTGCCGCAGAACCACCTCAGGAAGTGCCAACAGGAGAGCCCCAACCCATATAACAGCCAGTTTGGCAGTAGTTGATGTACAGTTTTCAATCATCTCGTAATACATCTGCACATTTGTGGCAGCACGGAAACGGTCTATGCAGAGAGCACATAATGTAAAGGTAGTTACTCCAAGAGATGCTACCTGGATAGGGAAAGAAAATATAAAACAGAGTTTAACTATAAATGAGGTGTGAAAACATACAAGTTGCAAATAGCTGACACGAACTTCCAGATCGCTCACAACCTAGCCATAAAACAAGTACATATTTATTGCAGGAATGTCTATGCTCCAACACTTTCCCTGGGTAATTTACCCCCATCAGCCCTACAGAAGTTAAAGTAATTAACACATACAGACCAAAAGCATCTATATCTAAGAAAAACTTTAACATTCTTCAGGTAGAATAAAATGAATTAAGATTTTAAATCTTGATCTGCTTTTTACATAACGTTCTCTAACACCAAAGTGACAGAGATCTGTCATAACTGGGGCGTGTTAACATGACAAAAATGCCACATTCCTAGTAACTCTCTGCCATGGCACAGATATGGGGCAGGGGCTTGCCTTGCATAGAAATAGATAGTCCATTAGGAATACTCGACCTAAAAACGTTAAAAGAATTTAAAAGTCCAGTTAAGATGGGTGTTTTCATTTAAACTAATGTTACATTATTGAATTCAGCAAGGCTTATGAACTACTCCTAAGACATCAGGCAAATAACATACCATTGTTCAGGAGAATAGACAAGCATTGTTGCAGTATTTTAAAGCACACACTACACTTAGTGCAGCAGGTTTGTAGTAAGTGTCATGGTAGAAGGATATTCTAATGAATGTTTCTGGGGTCCAGTAGTATTCTCTACCTAACTACCTATTGTTCTTTTGCTGCTTTTCTCCCAGTGATTTTATAGAACAAATTTATGTCATGTCAGACCTTGGGTCCATCATCTCACCCAATATCATATCATGCGCCCCGAGATATTCTGGACTAAAACATCTATATAACCATTGGCTATGCTAGGGGTGGGTGGGAAGAAATTGGAAGTTGTAGGGTAAGACATTTAGAAAGTTGAAGGGCTCCTATTTGTTTTCAACAAATGGCAGCAACTCTTCAAGGTCTGGGGCAGGGATCTTTCCCTACTCTACTTTGAGACACTAGAGATTGGACGTCAGACTTTCTGTATGCAGAACACCAGAGGTCTGAATATTTACTACTATAAGATTACACTTTTAAGCTCTAGAACAGAAGTCCCCAACCCCCAGTCAGTGGCTAAGCCAGACCGGGCTGCCGAGACAGATCTCCTACCCCACCTGCAACTCACCCCTGCATGTCCGTGACCACCGCGCCACCATTTGCGCATGTGCATGAGCACACGTGCACCCAGACAAGTACTGCACTGCTGTTTGTGCATGCACATGGGCGCGCGTGCGAGAAAATATATGTGCTTGTTCGCACATGCGTGTGAGTGCCTCGCCTTTCCCAGCCGGTCCGCAGTCCTAAAAAGGTGGGGGACCGCTGCTCTAGAACACAGGTTCTGACAGTGAACTACGATTCTTTTTTTAAAATTCCATTTTCATCACTTCAGAATATATTCTGGTTTTCATGTTTAAAGTAGTTATTTCTAAGGCTTGTTTTTTTTTTTTAAATAAATATCTGTCACAGGACAATAGAGCTCTGAAGAACTGCTAACAGCAACTGTCTAAGATTTCACTACCCCCTTTTTTTTTAAAAAAATCTTGATTTCACCATAAAATTACCCCAGTATCTCTATAATATATCAGAGGCACAAAAATGCTGGGTAGCTAATTGTAACTTTTGCTTACTTAATGTGCGTCAAGATAATTAAGATTCTAAAAATGATCACATTTCAAAATGCAGTCTGCTTCTTATCATAATTTTGAAATATGCTTGTTTACATACATCTCATAAAAAGTTTTGCAAGGACAGAGACTTCAATTATATAAATGCATCCCATACTTTGGCCTTCAGCATTTAATGACCATATCTAATTGCTATAAGTCAATACCACTGCAAAGCACTAGGCACAGTGGATAAAACCTGCAAACCCTGGCTTAACTAAGTGATTCTCCGAAATATCTTCTTGAAAATCATGCAGTCCCTTATTAACCTGCAATAGCAGGCATATTTAATTATGCAGCTCCGTATTAACCTGCAATAGAAGACATACTTAAATTTATGACTCAGCAGAAGAACTGTAAATGTTCTGGGAAGGCAAGACTATTAATTTAGTGACTTAAACTGTCTGGGGCACATTCAAAGGAAAAAGCTTAGTAAACAAACAAAATACAGTGGGGTCTTGACTTAAGAATGGCTTGAGTTAAGAACATTTTGACTTAAGAACCACTCTCATAGGAAAATATTGACTTGACTTAAGTACTTAGATTTGAGTTAAGAACTGCAAAAAACCCACGTGGGAGGCAGGGAAAGTGCAAAAAGTGAACTTTCAGTTAACTGTTGGCCAGTGAAAAGGGTGCCTGTCTGCTTCCTCACTCCTCCCTGCGTTTAGAGAGTGGATTGGGAGACAGTCTTCGGACTGCCTGGTACTGTACTGCCTGGACTGTATTTTCTCTGCCTTCCCTGAACTTTTCTTGACCTAAGAAAAAAAGAAACAAAATATCCCCCCTCTAGCGGTCGAAGGCGGAATAGCAGCTTCCCATTAGTTTCTATGGACGGAAAAGAGCAGATACGGATTAAATAGTTTTCAATGCATTCCTATGGGAAATGCAGATTTGACTTGAGAACTTTTTGACTTGAGAACCACCTTCCAATACGGATTAAGTTCTCAAGTCAAGACCCCACTGTAGGCAGATAAATAGGAAAAAATCTCTTTTTTTGTAAGAAAAAGGACAAAGAAAGAGACTAAAGCTAAAATAGCTAAGAAATAAGCTTTTTACACATCAGAGCTACAAAATGTCAGGCAGGAAAATTTAGATATTGTGACCTTAACTCTAGAACATTAATATCCTCTCTATCAGCTTCCCATACCCACAACAATCCATTTATCCAGCTCAATCAACCAAGGGAGAAACAACACTTCTGACTGCTATTCTGTATACATACAACACAATTTTTAAAAAAGAATATTCCCTCACAAACAGGTGAACAAAGAACTTTGTCCTGGAGTCAGGAGTCATGCTGTGGATGGTTTAAGAAATATCACCAGCCTTTAATTTCAGGTCCCAAAATGGAAACTGCAATCTCCTACAATCTCTCAGCATAGCTGGTATGAAAATGAATTGAATCAAAACTCTACGTTGCTTTAAAAGACCACTCATAAATATTGTGAGTCGATAGGCAGCAGATTGTTACGGGTTTTGACCTACATCAATAACCAATCAGAGGCAAAATCCTAACTTTAGGAAAAGCTGACCAATAGAATTGTAGAACTTCATGGCTCTTTGTTATGATATAAAATATCTGTACACTTTATTTTCAAGGTTTTCTCTGCTTTTAAGAGAAGTCAGAGCTGACTTTGTATTGCTTTCAATAAAACTGGACTTTAGTTCAGCTGTTTGTGTCTTGCCTGATCCCTTGCCAGAGAAAAATTAGGATACAGGTTTTGACGTGTACCAAGATTAACACCATGCGTTGTGATGCCCTTTTTGGGTAACTATTATTATAAACCATACTAAATTTTAATATGGCAACACAGCAACTCTATGTGTTGTGATAAATAAGAGGAAGATTTCATTTTTATCCTAAACATACAGTAACTCAAACCTCAAAGCTGGTTCAGGGCCAAGGAAAATATAACGTGACAAGAAGGACTGATCATCAGTCTAGGATCTTTAAACTGGTAGCGTGACCAGGATTTATGACTTCTTTTTGCATTCTCTTCAGCTAAGGCCAGGCCACATCTTGGCCTATAGGAGATAGGGGAAGGATGCTGTAGAATGGAATATGTACAGTTCGTTTAGATCAGGTCTGGGAAGTATCCAGCCTGTGGACAACATGTAGACCACCACTGCCTCCAAGGAAGTCCCTACATCCCTCCCTGCATACATACACATACGAAGATCTAAAACCCGTATATCTAAAACTGCAACCTAAAAGTCTCAAATGTGAGATTTTTAAATAATCTAAGTTGCTTCTGGTGCCTTTAACTTTGAGGGGAAGGGAGCAGAGATGGCCCTCAGAGGTCTGTGAAAAAGGAATGGCTGCAGTCCCTGAAGTCTCTACGGCTGTTCACGTTTGATTTAGGTAGTCACACACTGCTTACTTCCATTTCTTTTGAAGCAATAGCTTGTAAAACAGATGCTGTTGGAGGATTCTGCTAAAAGGTGCCCATGGTGAGAGACTTCCCTGTGACTTGTGTATTTACGTGATCCTCAGAAGATGGCAAAGGCAGTATTTTCTTCAAATAAACTCCAAACCTCTTTCTCAATTATCAGATGCCCGAATCTATCAATGCTTTACTATTCAGCCATGTACCAATTGCTTCCCTGCTGTGGGGTTGCAGGAGCTCAGCATTTATACCCCCCGTCCAGTCGAACTGGAGAGAGGCAAAATAACCACTACAGGATCATTCCAACCTATTAGACTAAGGGAAGTAGGACCTGGTGGTTACATGCCGGAGAAATAAATTTATTCCTAGAACCCAGATATGAAGTTATGCCTGGGAAGAGGAAGGAAGGGGTACCCAAGCAATCCCCCACCCCCACTGTCTTTGCAAAGACAGCAGAGGTGGGGGATCGCTTGGGTCCCCCTTCCCTCCTTCAGCCCTCAAAAATGTGTAAAATATATGATATGGCCCTCACACTGAAGATACTGAAAATAGACCCCTGATTTAACATGAATACATTTGTATGGTGCCTCAACTTCAGAGAATGGAAGGAGGAAGAGGAGGGAAAGACAGGAGGAGTGGGAGAGTGCTTGGGTCCCCTTTCCCTCCTCTTCCTATGGGACTAAGGGAAGTAGGAGCTGGTGGTTGCATGCTGGAGAAATAAATCTATTCCTAGAGCCCAGATATGAAGTTATGTCCAGGAAGAGGAAGGAAGGGGCATCCAAGCAATCCCCCACCCCCGCTGTCTTTGGCCTGATAGGTCCCCCACCATCTTTGCAAAGACAGCATGGGTGGTAGGATTGCTTGGGTCCCCCTTCCCTCTCTACGCCCAAGCGGGGACAGGAAGAGGAGTGAAGCCTGATCTAAGCGATCCCCACCCCCACTGTGTTTGCAAAGACAGTGAGGTCCCCCTTTCCTCCTTCAGCCCTCCAAAATGTATAAAAAATATGATATGGCCCTCACACTGAAGAGTTCGGAGACACCGGCCTAGAGAAACCAAAATCATAGGCAAGCTTCCCATGATTCTCTTCTACAATCCTTCCTAGTTTAGTGAAGACTGGGTTTCAGACATTCAAGGTATACACCCACAAAGTGTGTTCCCTCAGGAAAGTGCCCTTGCTTGAGGAAACCCAATCTTGACAAAACTTGGAGGGATTGTAGAAGAGAGTCATGGGAAGCTTCTCTGTGATTTTTGGCATCTTTAAGTGCCTGGGGAAAACTTCCCACAGGGGGGCTCTTTGTGGGTGCAGAACTCAGATGTGCAAAACCCAATCTTCACTCGGAGGGATTTTAGAAGAGAGTCGGAGGAAGCTTCCCTGCACTTTTGGTATCTCCAGGTGCCTTAGGGGCCATTTTATAGCCAAACGAATCAACAAATAAAATACTGCTAAAAAAAATTCACTGATTCATGATTTGTTAGGTTCGTTGACTCATATGAATACAAAAAGATGAATTAGCAATTTTTGAATGAATTTTGTGATTTGTTTTTTAATTTGTGCCCATCTCTACCGGTGACACATGATCCTTTTGCTCGTCAATAACTAATAAACATGGTCCTAAAACTAGAGAAGAAAGAAGCTAATTTTTTTTACTGCAACTCCCAGAATTGGTCAAGCTGCTGCAGCATTCTCGGAGTGGTATTCCAAAAGTTTACATATAAACTAGAGATGGGAGTATTCGTATATGAATACAAATACCCACGCACAGGTGGCAATAACGAGGATCCGGCCCCCTGGGGCCAGACCATCCACTCACAATTCCGCCATTGCTGCCAGCTCTGCGATCTTTCCTATCACTTTGGAGCTCGTGATAGGCGAGACACTCTTCGACCCGGCAGGGAGGCTTGTCGTCCTGCTTCCTCCTCCCAGAAGTGGCGAGCCAATTGTGAGTTCCAGAGTGATAGGAAGGATCGCGGAGCCAGCAACAGCAGCAGAATTGTGAGTGGACGGTCTGGCCCCAGGGGGCTGGACCCTCATTATCGCCACCTGTGCGGGGGTATTTGGATTCGTATACACATACCTGTACCCCTATCTCTAATGTAAAATTTTCCATCTCTGGTAAAAACTCAGTAAAATGGCTGGGCATGCAAATGCCTTATAGCACTCCAGGTTTCCTTTGCCAGATGTCAGCACAGGAATGACTGTGAGAAAAGACAGAAGGTCCGAGCCTATGAAACCTGAAAGAGTTGTGATATTTTAAATCTGGAAGACCAGTTTAATGTGCAGCAATGGAGTTCTTGCTAGGCCCTAGGATTCTACCTATGAGAAGAGGTTTCAAGATTGTTTGCTCCATGTCCTTTTTCTTAAGTAGAATGTAACCAAATGACCCATGGCGAATTTATATTTTATCTGAACATGGAATTTTCCATAAGAAAAAAAATACCTTCCTGGATATAAAGGTCTGGCTAGATGAGTTATCTTTTAACTTGTACTGTTTTAGAATTTTCTAAATAAAATGTATATCCACATTTTGCATGAGCCATCTGAGCCACAAACACAAGAACAAGACACCATAAAAATATAGTCCGACCGGGGGCCACTGCACTGCCAACAACAAGGCCATCTTTCTTAGGCCACTTCCTGAAAACAAACAACAACACAGTATTTATTACATATTTATTTACTGGAAAAAAAACCCCTGTGAATAACCAAAACCATGCTGCTTGATCCATGCAATTCAAGAGAGAAGTGTATGCAGCAAATTAATATTTAACCAGATGGTTTCTAATGGACCCCACATGAGTGAGTACGGGCAGACGGCCCACCTGTATTAAGAAAGAACATTCTCTAATTCCTAGCAGTAGAGACTCAGATTACACAGCCATATGAAATATTACATTTCACAGAGTAGAGCTTTGTTCTAGATGGACGGGATAGAAATCAAATCAAATCAAATCAAAGCAAATCAAATCAAATCAAATCAAATCAAATCAATAAATCAATAAATCAATAAATCAATCAATAAATAAATAGCTGTGCAAGACAGGGAATTTCGGGTATACAGTATATTGTCATGGATGCTTCATCTGATGAAATCCCTGTTTTCATACAACCGACACAGACACAGAAGCTCTGTTTTCTTCTTCATGTGGGGATCCTAGACCACCTTGGGTACCTTTCAGATCAAGGGTGGGGAACTTTTGGCCTTCCAGGTGTTTTGGCCTGCCGTTTCCACCAATCCCATAAAGCATGGCCACTCATAAGGGGCTTTGGAAGTTGTACTCATTTATTGTGAAGACCAAACATTTTTTTCAATGTAATCTCTGCAAAGTGGGAAGTTTTTTTTTCATGAGCTGAGCAACTCCACAGCTGAGAGCTATGTCAGTATGATGAAACAACATGGGTGGAGTTATATCTCTCCAGCTGAATCAGGATGAAGCTCTTGACATGGATGGCACCTCTGACTGGGGTTTCTGAAGTTATACTGCCTGCACATCAACATGTGGACCAGCATTGACAGGTTGGCATCAAAAGGAGTGCTAAAAGCATTTGGATTTAGGAGCTGTTGCTGTGTGACTGCTTCGTAATACTGATACTGTTGCTTGTTCAAATTATAAAGCCAATTTTTGTCCTCTGCTTTGCAAACTCAGAAGAGAGCTTACTATGAAGGCAGGAACAGGCCAAACTAATTCTGCAGTGCTAAGATAATAAATGTATCTTTAAAAAACACTTCCTCAAATATTGCTGACTCCTACTTTCTGCCAAGGCTAAGACAAATCTCCTTCTGTTTTGATATCACATGTTCAGAATTTAAGATACAAGATACAAACACTTGCAGGTCATTTACAGCCAACTCAAATGCTACTTTTCTCCACTTCAATGCATCTTTTGAGATGTAAGGAGGGAATGGGGG